TAATACTGCATGAAGGCCCTGTAGGGTACTCCCTTTTCTGGGAAATGAATCTTAAGTCTTCTTGACTTCTGTGGTTCTTGTACGTTATGCAAAAGGCAGAATACGTGAGTCCAGCTGCAACTCTGGTTATTGCATTAGTTGGATCTGAACTTCCCCTGCAACTAAAGTTAAAATAGTAATTCTTCACTTTCTGTTGTTAATTTGGGTTAATGCACTCTTCTGTTCTTACAAGCAACAGCTGTATTTCCACTTCAGAGCTGTCTGCTTGCCAGTGCAATACTTATTTTTCTTTCTGTTTGCATACTGGTTTGCTAAATAGATAATGGTTACTTTGGGACTCTGAATAATTATGTTTTTGACATACTTGTGGATACAATATAAACTCACATTTTGGCTGCTGAAGGTGCTAATATCAGCCTTCTAAGTCTACTCTATATGTTAATTCCTATTTCTGGTGGCAAGTGGAAAACCTCCCAGCATAAAACCAAAAATAATATAGGTAATTCTTAATATTTAAAGTTTTTGTCACCACATTACTATCCATAGGGCTATGATAACTTCAACAGCTGAGGATTCTGGTCTCTAAAGCAATTGTGTGTCCTTGTTAAACAAAAAAAAAAGTGTATGTCTAGACCTAACACTCTCAGTGACCTATTTCCTTTGGACTTGTAAAAGTGGTCACAGGCAGACAATATAATTCTGAGTTAATTTATTGTCTATGTCTGTCTGTGGTTCTTTACTCTCAGAAATATACTAGTCCTCATTAGTCAACTGACTGATTATTTTTAAAGTAACAGAAGTAAATATTTGCTTACAGACATGAGAAATTAAGCCACACTACAGGGAAGTAATCTAGGCCAGATATGAAATGTTGCTCTTCAGGATGAGACCAAGGCAGCAGTTGTACAAAACTGTGCAGAGTAAGAGTCAAAGTGTGACAAGAACATTATTCTGCTGACACAAGGAAGGGAAATAATAACATATCATTGTTTCCACAGCCTCCTGTGTTGTACGAGATGCTACTGGGAACATCAATGACACTGTTGTACCTGGAATGAGCTGCAATGGATCTGCCTGCAGCTTAGGCTACGATTTTTCCAGATGTGGAAGTCAGCCATGTGATTATGGGCTGATGAATAATTTTCAGGTTTTAATGAGATAATATGTATAATCATAAGCAATACATATAAGTACAAAAATGCAAAACCATTATTTGCTGACAACTAACTGCAACAGGACATACACTTTTATCTAAGGAAAGTTAAAAAAACTACAGGACTAATCCAAGGGAAAGGCTCCCTGCATTCCACATTACCTTTATACTACCTATCACTAGTTTTTCCAGCACTCTGGGAAGGCTTTACTTCATCTTTCAACAAGTACCATGAAGCAGTATATCTTCTAACATCTTCAAACTTTAAAAATAGACTTAACAGAGACTTCAGGAACTCCTGTTAGATAAGCAACTCATCTCACTGCTCTTCACACATGAATGTGATTTTACCTCAGGGATGCTGTGGACACTTAAATGTTTGTGCCACAGTACAAAAAAAAAAATGGAGTTCTGACCGCTTAAAAAAAGGTATCAAAAATAACGAAGTGAAATATCAAAAGAAAAGTAATGGGGTCTTCCTCCTAGGCTAGAGACTGTCTGCCATGTTTATTCTTCAAAATAAAGCATAGGCAAAAATCAAAGTAAAGTAGTTATTCTGCAGCTCAAGAACCATGACTCCCAGATGTCCTTTCAGCCCCTATGCCTGACAGCCCATGAAAGGAGCTCACCCCCCACCTGCACGTGCTTTTCAACTAGCCATTGGTAGCTTTTAAAGTCACTTGGTTTTTTGCCAGCTGGCTCTGCTAAATTACTGGGCTGATTACCCAGGTATCCCTTAAAAGGGATATATTGTCCCTCTCACAAGCTACTTTTCTCTCCTCGCTTGGTCATTTGCCAGCCTCACTCCCACCTCAGTTCAGCCACCCAGACCCCTTAAAATCAGTGACAGACCTTCAGCTAAAAACAGAATTTCACTTCTTGCATTTATCTTTGTCAGAAAAATACTATGTCTTCATCTGACAGATCTCCAGTATCAACTGGTTTCTCTCTTGGAGTATTAGTACATACCAAAAAGCATCTGGCAATCACATCTGTCAATTTCCTCTTTTAGCTTCCTTGTCTGGTGCTTCTCAACAACCCTTTGCTTCAGTGTTCAGAGAGGCCAGTGCAGCCCCTCTGGGAGGGCTGAGGGAGGCCTGACAGTGACCAGTGTTATTGTTCACAGCACTGTTGTTACACCAGCACAATCAGACATTTTCTCTTTTTTTAAGCCATATTCTATAATGAAGAAAAAAAAAACACAACAACACAACAAAAACAACCCAAAGAAAGTGCCTCCAACCATGTTTTGTACTTTGCTTTTTCCCTCCATTGCCATTTTCCCTTTTTGCTTTTGCTGACTATTTACCCATCACGTGGAGACTGTTACTTACAGCAACCAGTTAGTCAAGGAGGTGAGAAAATCCCACAGAGTACTCGTCTGCCTCAACAGACAGCTGCATACTTGTATAAAACTTGGATATGCCTCCATTGCTTTTTTCTAAAACAGGAGTAATAGTATTTCCCTACTTCACATATGGTTTGTAGTACATTGAATGTAGAACTGTGAAAAGCAGAGACTTGTAGAAACAGAGTACTTAAATGGGTCTGTGATCACAAAGTGTATCCAAATGCCAGTCTACTCTTTTCGCCTTCTTTTCTCTCCTAAAGGTGATGAGCATGGTGTCTGCCTTTGGTCCTCTCATCACAGCTGGCATCTTTTCTGCTACTCTGTCATCAGCTCTAGCATCTCTTGTCAGCGCACCCAAAGTTTTCCAGGTAAAACTGAACTATCCATTTCCTTATCTTTTACTTCAAAGACATAAAATTGAGTTGAACCCTATGTGCTAATGTGATATATACTTAAACAACATGGACATGTGGGAGGAAGAGGCAGGGAAAACAGTATGTCAAATGTTTTAAACAGAAATACACAGATCTTACCACCCTCACACAAGGGTGATAACATGACCTTGGTCAGACCTCAGCTTTGCTGCAAGAGCACATGTGCCTGTTACAGACAGGTTCAATGCTATCTTCAGGAGCACTTCTGTATTTTTACAGAAAGTCACTCTGTAAGTACAAGAAAGCCAGGAATATATAGGAGCCCTCAGGACTGTAAGATTCACATGCTGGCAGGTGTGCTCAAACAGGCTGTCTAGAAACTGGGCAGTGGCAACGTGGACAGAATGGGAAGAAAGGACATGGGACAGAAATATAACCTGTACAACTCGCACCAAGGCACTGTTTTGTGCTTCAGTTTCCTCCAGTTTACACTCTATTTACTAATCAGTTAAGATTTTTATAAAGGACTGCGTAAGTATTAAATGCCTGTGGTTCTGCTTTCCTGTTATATAATAATACAGCAGGATATTGATTTATCACCTTATTTGAATGTTTCCTGCTATAGTAGTACATATACTTGAAGACAGATTTAATTTCTGTTTAGCAAAAGCCTAGCGAGCTGTCACTTAGAGACAGTGAGCTACTTCTGATACAAGAAAGCACTGCTTAACAGAATTATGTTCTGATTTTCTACCAGGCTCTTTGCAAGGACAACGTCTACAAAGGCCTCGAGTTCTTTGCCAAAGGATATGGAAAAAACAATGAGCCCATCAGGGGATATGTTCTCACTTTCGTGATTGCTATGGCATTCATTTTGATTGGTTAGTATATTATTACACAACTGCTATAATCTCATGTTCTGAAAATATATAAACTGACATTTAAATACAATTATTAGCTATGGTTAGATAAATTCACAGTCAGGTAAGCTCTGACATAAGCCCAAGTATACTCAAAGCCCTGGTAGCTATTCCATTATTCTTAAAAAAGGCAAAAAGAAACCAATATGGACTCCATTAGCACCTCATCATCATAAGCCTCATTTTCAAGGATGCTGAGCAGGTGCCATTGCTGGTCATGCCACTGGAAGAGGGTGGTGCATAGAACTACATCAAATAAGGCAAAATCACAAACTTTGAAAATGTTTTTCCAGTTTATATTACACATAGCTCTGAGGCAAGTCTGAGATAATGAGGAAGCCTCCTCTTCCAAGCCCTCCCTACAGTCAGCTCCAAAGCAAATCCCAGTTTGCCAGCATTGGTAGTAGAAAATCCCAGCTACTATATTTAGACATTTGGGGAGTTTTAAATTAGTTTTTCCAAGACTTGAAGTTCAAACTGTGTGACACTAAGTAAATGGCGAGTTAAGAGAATTCAGATTGCCAAAAGCAAAATCCTAAGTTTTAACTCTCTTTTGTGAAATTGATTTGATGTCTCAATTCTGCATTTAAAATTCTGAAATTTACACCAGATCTACATCACTAAAAGTAAGCTTGTAGAATCAAGAGTACATAGCACAGAATGTTACTAAAATCAGCATCAGCAGACACTAATATGAATGAAGTTAGATCAAGGTGGTCTTAAATTAGTAGCACCTAAGCTCTACTGGATGACAAATTCAGAGACCAGTTTTAATGCATCCTCAGGAAAAAAACTATCCAACAATCTAGGAAATTTGTGCCTATATCTGACTTGACTGTGTGTGTCTTGCAGCTGAACTGAATACCATTGCTCCCATCATCTCTAATTTCTTTCTGGCTTCATATGCTTTGATCAATTTCTCCTGCTTTCATGCATCATATGCAAAATCTCCAGGTGAGTCTGTATTCCCCAGTGATCTAAATGTGGATTTCACAGTCCAATCTCTGCAAGTTTTTTACTGTCAGAAGAAAGATGTAGTACCTGTAAAATATCTAAGCTATGTGTCTGTACTGCTCTTATTGAATATAAGGACATTTTACTTATCTCCAAAATATAAAAATAAATATAAAATAAATATAAAGGCTCTAATCCTTACACTCCCTACAGTTGTACAGGATGAAAAATGCTTCGGTGGATCCCACTGGAGCAGAAAAACTCCTCCTCAGGGTGTTTTTCAGGGTATTTTTTCCCCTCACTACCATACAACACAGGTGGATAAAAACTGATGCCAACTCTAGGCACACAAAGCAAGGTGTGGCAGGCAGCCATAATTCTAATCCTTTTCATGAATGAAGGGGTGACACCCTACAGTCTAAAGTCAATCAGCTGAGCAACACTATTTTTGGCACACAGGAAAGACAATTTCCTGCCACTGTGAATTAATGATTCAATTCAAGGAGCAAGTAATAGTTTTTAATTTCCAGTGTGAGAAGCCACTGCAGTGACATAAATGCCTACATCAACTTCCTTCCTATAGACCTGCCAAGTGCCATTTGTTCAGAGGGCAGAAGAGATGAGCACTTCTGTTAATTACCAGCACAGCTGAACAAATGCAGATCTGCTCTGCATGGCCTTGGAGCTGAGTAAAAACTACCCCTATAGACTTCATGTGTGTGCATCTGACTCTGCTCTGCCACTACTTAACATTTCAGACAAAACTGCAGCCATTTTACTTCTATTTCCTCCAGTTAATTTCTGCCAGTTCACAGTGATAGATTATAACTGCAAGCCTGCAGGACAGCAAGTGTCTCCACAGCAGGACCTTCCCACTCCATCATTAGAAAGATGATCCAAGATAGGGTTGCTCAGCCTCTTCTACTATCTTACGTGTTTTTTCCCCTCTCCAAAGAGTGTGCTCTGTAGAATACCAGGCACAGACCAATAAACCATGCAGGCTCACTGCCTGTCTCATTTTAATTGCTACCACGGGATGGATTCAGAACTGCAGCTGATGAGCAGCAG